TTTCCAGTCACAAAACAAGACATACCTCTCATAGTTAATGTAGTAATAAAGATGTACAATTAGCTCCCTCCTCGTGTGCTATAATTAACTTACTACGTAAAAAAGCTTTCCACTGTGCAAGTTTGTGTACATTTCAACCCGTTTTGCTTTTGTGAAAAAAATAAGAACAATACTTTTAAGGAAATGATGGGTTATATTCTGCAAATTACTAATAACCTGACAGGTAATGAAAAGCATACAAGCAATTTCATCGACCAGGCAGTTCAAACAGCATTCTCACTTTCTCAAACCTGCCCAGTTGTCTGGTAGATTAACCCGAAATGGCACTATTCCCTCTGGGTCACCAAATCACCGATGGAGAAATTTTATCTTGATTTGAGCCTTGACCTGCTGGTACATCACGCATTTTAAATCATAAAGTATATGGGGGAAAAGTGTGGTTTAATTTCCAAATGTGTAACAACCACCATCTTCCAAAAAAAACCTAATTTGGGACACATGGGCCAACATTGCCCATGACAGCAGTGCTGCAATAATACTCTACGTTTTGGAAATTTGGTAAAAGTGTTGTCATATTTCGATTTAAAGCTGTCTTCCCGACAGACCTGTTCTTCAATTGAGGACGGCTGCTTGCGTTGTGGCCAAAACGTCGTGAGAATTATTTTATTATGTTTTATTTTTATCATTTCATTATTTCCCTTCTACATGACTTTACCGAAAGAACCAAGAAGATGTTGTCATGTTGTCCTTTAATTTTTTGTATACACGATGAACTCTTTCCAAATATATGAGAAATTATATTTAACCATGCAAGTCAACAAATATAGCAACAATGACTAACATGACATTACAAGTTGCCCCACAACATCCAAATGTCACAAAGAAACAGCCAATTACAGACACATGGTATATTTTAAATACAATTCACATGTTTGTTTACATTTCTATTATCAGTATAAATATTTATCTGCCTGTAATTTGTAAAGAATTGGAGGGCTCACTGGGAATTCCATAAAGACATCTGCATGGGACATTTTATTCATTAGAGTACTGTGATGCAGGTTCCATCGTAATTTTCCCCAGGGATACAAAACTGAACGTGCCACCCCAGTGGCTAAGTACACACCATCATTTTCCATGGCCAATCCATTCAGTACTATTACAGCTCACTCTGTGCTCAACAACACCAAAAATGTAACCATTTAGCAAAACAGAGAACACTTATGATTAATTACCATCTTTACTGCTTGTTTGGGTTGTGCTGTGTGCTGTCTGCTGTTTTCAGTATTGACTATGAAATTGCAAAAGTGTCCATGTTGAAATTCTTTACCTGAAAATAACAGTATATTTCCAATGCAAACTCCAGAATATAGAATATGCTATATCTACCACTGCACATGTTTTCGCGGTTGTACTGCAAGGCTCTCCGATGTGTGTTTAGGTTGTGCCCTAAAGATCTCAGCCACTTCAGTTCCCTCTTCAGGTTCTGAAGAAGCAACTGTAGAAGCTTCAAATACGTGGATAAAAACGTTGGACACCATGTTGGTCAACACCCGGTACAACCAGAAAACAAATTGCATAGCTAAATAATTGCTGTTTTAAACAAAATATTTCCAAAACTCCAAATATTACAACATAGTCAAACAAATGCTGCACAAACCAAAAAGCCAACATTTTCTCAATGCTCTGAGAAGCACTAAAAGCAGTACTGTACCCATCTGCACTGATGCGAGTAGCTGAAGTTCCACATGTGGTAAATGCAGTGCCAGGTTAATCTGAACACAATCGTCACTGCTGACTTTCCCACTAGGTGGTACTGTACTCATTTTACTAATGTCACATGTATTTGTTAACCATTCGGAATATGCATGCATAATGGTACTTTTCCCATAAATTATCAATGATAGTAGTTTAAATAATTATTTTCTTTATTCTAAAATCGACACCAATAAAAGTATACATTTAAATCCCTGTCCCCAATTGTCCATTGTCGGTTACAATGGTTTCCATTGAAAAATGGAAATAGTACATTAATGGGCTCCCGTCTTTTCATGAAGCAATTACTGAACTTCATCAACTGTATCATCGATGGCCCACAGTTACAACAATGTATCTGAGTGGGCTTGGTCAGAACACTCCTAGAAGAAAATGAGGGTACCTGAAAATCAAGACCTGAGTCCCATTGCAATAGGAACTTCTCTCAAAGGGCTTCCACTACTTCACTGATATAGCAACACAAATATAACATCAACAAAGAGACTGCGGATTTATCAATTAATCTTTATTAGGAAGCCACTGGAGCTTTGCAATTTGAAATCGAGATTGAAAACGAAATTCTTTATATCTGCTTCCGATTACATAAGAGAAAAATTAACGTACATCTTGTTTGGGCCTGATAAATGTGTTTCCTGCAGCACTTAATACCTGGTCACAGATACATAAGACGTCTCTGTTTGAAACGTATGTCATTTCAATCGGCTCTGACCTGGTCATAACAAAATCTACATAGACTTTATAACCATGTATATATCTTTTAACATCTCTTAACATGGACCCATATGGTGCATTTGGTCCATTTCAATCGTGAAAAATGCATAGCCTCAATCTGCAAATGTATCACGGATGCATGGAGCTGCAAGTCACGTTTCCATGCTTTCTCTGTTAACCGCGTGTTTATTTGCGGATTAACGGAGTCACGCAACCAACTCCTCCTGTAACGCATGGCACATCCAGAGTGTGCGGCAGATAACAGGATCTGTGATACGGACCTCCCCCCCCCCCAATGTCAACGTGAAAATTGGAGTTCTGCTATAACACAAACCAAAGGACTCCCATATAAAAGGAACATTTCTATTGAGCTCTCACTTTGATATGAAGGAAAATGTATGCTTTTTTGTCTTTTCACCAATTATATTGCAATCGTGCTGTCAGCATCTTGTTACGGGTCAAAGAAATATCCATTCAAAGCTATCGTGGAAAGCAGTGCATCACCTCATGTTAGAAAACGAGCACTGGAAGACGACATCACACAAGTATAGTACTTCTAAGAACCTTTCAAATGCCTTTTATCCACAGTAGGCAGTGAACGTTCTCTCATGCCGTTATAGCAGTGTTCACCACCTGACAATAAAACCAAATGTTTTTTTTTTTGCCCGAAGGAGAAGATACATATGTCGAATTAAGGGAAACCATACATTTAATACGATGGCGGTTATTTTGTCGAGTAGTTGGTGACTGCGATGGGACTATCAACTCACTAACCAAGGTAACCAGCTTTAATCGCAGGTGACTGAAATTTGGATTTTTAAAAACCCAGGTAATGTTGGTGTAATGGAATATTGCCTGTAATCATGCCCTTAGATTAAAGGGTTGGCGGGCCACAAAGATGTATAAATCTATTTGCTTTATTTTAAACAAAGAGTATAGATCATTACAGTCACGAAAACTTCAAATCTATAATGTATAAATCTCCAAACCCCCTGGGTTGCAGTGATGAGGATATGCTATCCGCGCATGAGCCCCGTTGTGTTTTCCCCAGGCACTCCCGGTTTCCTCCTGCATGCAAAACGCTCTTTGAAAACGAATCGAACAAACATCCCAAAGCAGGACCCTCTTAAAGAAGAAGTCTAGGCACTCAGCTCAGCTCTGCTAGTTAAATAATTGGAATTGAGATAAATGACATCATTATTACAGCTCAGCTCTGCCACATTTATTGCTGACCCCGTAAAACAACGCAGACACCTGAAGCACCACGAGTTTTACAATCACCAGCATCTTTATTAATAATGGAACCCCGTGTCTTTATTCGTTTACCATTTTTTGTCAATGATTGCCAGCAGCAGTGGGCCCTCAATGGCCATAATCGGCATCTCTCTCTCTCTCTGCATTCTGTGCGCACCTCGAGGACCCATAACGATCTGCGTGTGGGACAATTGCATGAGCCCATGGGAGAATAAACCCAACCACATGGCCCAGCGGTTGAGTTCAAATCCTGCTTGGGGGGGCGGGGCAGGGGTGTTGACTCAGACCATCATCCCTCCCCGGTAGATAAAATTGGTACCGATTTGTAGAGGGAAATCAACAGTGGCGAGGACTCGCCCCCGCCATGCGAAATGTTGCATTTCGACCACTGTGGCTCGGAGACCTGTGAACGCTTAGAGGAGCACTGCACTCCGGAGCAGGAAATCACTTCCGACTTGGGTTTTTTTGTTGATCGGAATAATGAACACCACCACAGAACGTTTCACTTTCAAAACGTTTCGATTTAATTCGCGACACATTTAATTGACCAACGTCAACTACCGAAACGCACGTGGTCCGAAACACACACAGAGACAAAGATTCCCCGTGTAGCCTTAACAGACTGTAGGAGCAAGTGCTGTTAGCGAGCACCTATTAAGGCCGGAACGGTTACACGAGATGGGGGGTGGCGAGCACCACGCCCGACCGCCTTTGTCTCCCCATTGACGAGTTTTCCCACACACCTCACCAGGTACTAATTTGAGGCTGAGTCGACCTAGGGGAGGCCCAGGGGCCGGTGCAGATAATCGTCACTGTGGTGTTTGTCCGTGAGCGGCAATCGAACCTGGGGGGTGGCCGGGTTCATAGCGCAGCGCGCTAACCGCTGCACCACCGCTCCCCACCATGAAACACACGCGCACGTGCGTGGACGTCACTGACGCGGGGACGTTCCAATTGGAAGTCGGCTCCGGGTTTTCCCGGCGACCGGCCTCCCCGAAAACCATTACGTCACCCTTCGCAAAGACGGCCGCGCTTCCCTTTCGCCGCTCGCGATTGGCCGCGCGGCGCCACGTGACGAGGCCACCGACCAATCCGGAGGGCGACACAAAACAAAACACGGCCACGCGATCCGGCGGAGCGGCTCGGGTTGCCCGCCAAAACCCGGCGTGGATTTCCGCGGCGTGCCGGTGGCCGCCGCTCCATCCAACAGCCTCCTGCTGCTGCTGTTGCTGCTACCTCCCTCCCTCAACCCTTCTCACCTGCGGCAGGGCCGAGTTGAGCTGTCGCTGCAGCGAGTCGCGGTCGTGGCAAACGTCGTGCAGACGCGACTGCGTGTGGGCGAGCGTCTCCTGCGCGTCCCGCAGCGCGTCGAGCAGGCGGTCGCGCTCGTCCAGCATGCCCACCATGAGGCGCTCGAAGCTTGCGTCGTCCTGCGAGGTGCGGGTCGAGCTCGCCGCGTCCTCGCTGATGGTCGGCATCACCTCGCACATCATGGTCGGGCCGTGCAGGGAACTGGACGACCCACCCTCCCTCCAGCCTCGGCTGTCAGCGTCTCGTGTTCGTCCCCGCGCGTGGGGTCTAGGTGTGTGCCGCCGCCACCGCCGCCGCTCCTCCGGGATGAGGTCGTGTGATGAGCTGCATCAACTCCACCTCGCCGGCGGGTTCCTCTGCCTCCTCCTCCTCCTCGAATCCTCTGGAGTACTGTCACTACAATAGAAGCTCTTCCTATGCTGTGTCCCCCGTGTTGTGTCCTCTGTGTTGTGTCCTCTGGTTGTTGTTGTCGTCTCCCGGTGTTCCTCCTCTTCCCCTACTGCTCTCCTCCTCTCTGCTGCCAAAGCTGAGCGCTCCGCTCGGGACTCCCGGGGGCCCCGCCCCTCGGCTGTGTAGCCCCGCCCCTTATTGGCTCAGGCCCCGCCCCTCTAGCGCCCTTAGCCCCGCCCCTTAGATTACTAGCCCCGCCTCTAGCACTCAGAGGCCACGCCCCGTTACCTGGGGGGGGGGTGCAAATTCCTGCGTCTATAGCCCCGCCCCTTAGATTACTAGCCCCGCCCCTAGCACTCAGAGGCCACGCCCCGTTACCTGGGGGGGGGTGCAAATTCCTGCGTCTATAGCCCCGCCCCTTAGATTACTAGCCCCGCCCCTAGCACTCAGAGGCCACGCCCCGTTACCTGGGGGGGAATGTGTGCAAATTCCTGCGTCTATAGCCCCGCCCCTTGCGCCACTCCCCCCTCCCTCACCTGGTGCCTCGTTTAGCCCCGCCCCTTACACCACCTAGCCCCCACCTCTTGTCCGTTAGCCACGCCTCGTTGCAACAGTCACCAAAGCCCCCTCCCCCCCTGAACCCACCTCGTGCTTGAATACGGCCCAAAGCCATTGACCAGATTCCCCCCCCGTCTCCACTCCCTGCAATCTAAACCCCGCCCCCTTTCTAATTAGCTACGCCCCCTGTACTCGCTGGCCACGCCTTTAAATTTCGATTTAAAGCTTTCGTGACCGCATAGATTCATCTTCTTGGTTCTTTCGGTAAAGTCACGTAGAGTGGAAATAATAAAATAATAAAAATAAAACAATAAAATAATTCTCACTGTCTACTCGACAGACCTGCTCTCCACCTGAGGACGGCTGCTTGCGTTGTGGTCGAAACGTCGTGAGAATTATTTTATTATGTTTTATTTTTATTATTTTATTATTTCCATTCTACGTGATGACTTTACCGAAAGAACCAAGAACACGCCTTTAAAGTCATGGGATTTGCCCCCCCCCCCCCCATGTTTTTCGACTCCGCCCCTCTCGTTGTCATCCGCAACCCCCTCCCTTTAGCCGCGAATCCTACTTCGTGATTGGTCAAAAGCGAACACCCCCCCCTCTCTCTCCCCCTTCACGCCTGAAGCGGGGATGTCCCGTCCCCTATAAAAAGGGTGGCGGGGAGAGCCCTGTGAGACGTTGCGGCACGTGGGCCAGTGCACGTGCTGCCTTGCTACCTGCGTGCAGTGCAAGGTTGTCACCCTGCAGTGACGGATGCAAGTATGGTTTGACGTTTTTGTGGTTTTTTTAACCAGGTGAAAACTCGGGAGAGCAAGCAAAGCCTCATTTGCTGAACTGCTCTGGGTATCCAAAAATTACAAGCTAAAATAAAGTACAGCAATCAAAGAGATTGAAATCGGAGTGAAAACAATTTGGTCCCATAAAAAAATATCTAAATGATTTCACAAACATCCATTACTGTTAAATAATAAGTTCTCTTTTTTTCTAGATTTGAAGCTTTCGTGACTGCAAGGATTCATACTCGATAAAGTCACGTAGGTAAAACATAAAAATAAAATGAATGAAAACAACAAAATTTAATCATGACGTTTAGGAGGCAACACAAGCTTCCGTCTTCAGGTGGAACCGTTACAGGCAAAATCACTGCATAAGTTGATGCATGTGTTGTAAGTAAAATATAATAAGTTCTATGTCGTGTAGTCGGCTGGGGACTGTATAGGAATAGAATATGTGGGCCCATTGAGAATAAAAGACCCTTATTGAACGGAGACCTCGTGTTACAAAGCAAATACAGTACAGCTCAAGGGAATATGCACAAAGCACAACAGTAAAGATGAGTAAAGCAATACAAAAGTGAAGCCTAATAAAAAAAAATAGTTAATGTTACCCATAATGCATCATGGGGGTGGAAGAGGAGCTATTGCCACGTGGCCGAGTGGAATTCACATCCAGAGCAGGTGCTCCTAATTAATCCACTGCTGGATAAATGCCTCAAGCTGCCAATCGCCTCATATCAACATCCCAAATAACCCCTAAACCCTCAATCACATGCTGTCAATCTCCCAAAAAGCATTCACAAAGCGATTCCATGGATTGCCACGATTCGTTACTATGGCTCCGTTGGCTCTTTTTTATTATTGCGTTTTATTTTCAAAGATCTGTAATCGCAATTAACAGATGTAGCAGCAAATAATTTGCTTATCATTGGCCCAAATAACAAGTAATTCTTAGATGCATAAGTTGATGCATGTGTTGCAAGTAAAATATAATTAATGAGTCATCATGGGATGCCTACCATTCACCCTACAGATGCAGGTGAAAAGTACCATTACTGTGTTGTAAAATCTTTATCATTTAATTATATCAATGGATACTCATTTGATTATAAGTTTTAAAAGATCTGTCTAATTATACAGGATTTTGATTTGGTTAAATTCTCATTTGTCACGAATAAAATCTCAGAAAACCATGGATAGATGCATAGTAATTATACTGAGGCACAGAAAAATTACACGTGGATTACGGAACAAACAAGTCAGAGACATCACACTAACTTTCGAAAAGTAAATGGGGTTAGGCAGCACACAATTGCTAGAAGGGGTAATGGCTGAGGGGCGAGATTGATGATAGAATGGCAACCAAAGAATAAAACGTGTCCATGAGTATGACCACTGCAGATGGAGCGATGAGAAACATTCATGTCCAGGAGTGAGATGAATGGTGGCAGCGCCTTCAAGAGGCCTTTGTCGAGCAGTGGATAAGACAGCAGATGATGATGAAGATGAGATCTCTAGCTTCAGAGGATATCTGCCTTTGACATGGCCACACAATGGATGTTGTTACAGGGTGCTTAACATCCACTTTACAGAACGGTCCAGAAAATTTTACCCAAATATGGGAGCAAAACAGTTCCCATTTGCAAGCCACCCTGTAATGATGAAATATAGAGGCACACGTCCTTGCATTGAAACAATTACATCGCTCTTTTCTCATGTATGTAGTCATTATTCAATAAACCAGGTCCAGTCAAAACAAACATTCTTCATCATTAAATACCCTTTTCAACCAGCACCAGTATTAAAAGTTATACTCGATGGAAAAAAAAAACTCTTATGAAATTCCTCCTCTCCTTAGCTCACTGACTGCACCGGCCTCGTTTGCACAGTCTCAAGCGGTCAAAAGTGACGACTGCTGAATCAGCCCCTGCAGCTCGATCAACTCTGCTCCATTGCCCCCATTGCCTTGCACGAGCAAAATGTACAAACGTAGGCCCGTTTTCACACAAATATTGTTTTTGGTAGCAGAGAACATTTTCTCATACAGCTGAACAAATTTCGGGAATCACAGAGACGGGAGCACGTTGCGTGTACGTTACATCCGTGGGCAAAATCGCCCATCAGTTAAGCCCGTGGTCTGAAGGATCTCTCTGTATTTTTTGCTCCGGAATAGTTATCTTTCATCGACCAATTTTAACTACAGTATAACACTATAGGTATCCATACTCTGATGTGTTTTCCACTTTTCCGATAGATATATTCCATTGTTTAGTGCAACTTTAGTTTTGCTCATGTAACTTGAGATGCTCTTTTAAGCCTTCGACATTAAATTCCTCTATCATTCACGCATGAGATGAGTAGTATTTTCTCCAATTACAATTACGCCTTTATTTCCCAAATCTAAATTTCATACATTTTCATAAAACATCTGTCGCAGTGAATAACTTTTTTTTGCGACAGCATGTCTCCTTGTCCAACTCCCCAGTATATATTTCATCACTTCCTTTTAAATTTTTATCCCAAAATCTGATCAATACTGTGTGGTCAGCAGTAGATACAACTTTAATAAATGCAGCTTACTCATGTGGCCTCTACATTTACATCAGTCATTATTCTCCACAAATTGCATCTCATTCGTCTTTTATGTTTATTTACACAATAATAATGAGGCTTCATTCACAAAAACAAGTTGTTTTGTCAAGATGGGATTTGTTCTCATGATGTACGTTGGTGTGAAATAAGACAGTGTAATCATGGTGAGTGCCCTCACTGTGCATCATTATCTTGCTTAATAAATAAAGAACATTAGAACAGATGTCAATTTGTATTCGCTGTACTAAATGAATCCTAGACCCTTGTATTGTACCACTGTGCGTGTATTTGCTGCATTTGTCATGTTGGAAAATTCTTATGTTAAAAGGTTGTAAGGTAAAATATTTGTTCTTTTGTCAATTCCCCACATAAAAATTAGTTGTTTTTTTTATACAGGCTCCTTGAGTATGTTTAAGTAAAATGAATGCTTTGTTTCATTAAAGCAACATTGTTTTGTTGCCAGATTTACAATATGAAGTGAAAAATATTAACAGCTTGTTCATACATCAAAACTTAGCACGGACCCAATAAAAGAGGTCCATTTATAAAACACATAGCATTAAATGTAATTGTAAGGTTCATTGTAGTTTCAAATTCATCTTTTTATCCCTCGGTGCAAGTGCTTCCCTTTCTCATAATAAAATTGTACTGAAGAATTGAATCTTGTATCCGCTTATTACAGTAATGAGGAAAAATGGGCAAATTATTTTTGCAACCATGCCCTTGTTACGGTTTGTTTAAAAACTATTACGAACTACCAAAATAATGAGAAAAAGAAAGACATTAAAACATTTGAAATCAGTCATTTGAAAATCATTATTCTCCACGGTCACGATAAATGGTTAAACTTTCTCATGCTTGGACATAAAATCAGCATGTGCTTAAATTTTTCATGAGAGGATTGAAGTGATGGAGTACAGTTGCCCAGGTGACAAATGCATGCATAAGGGAATTTTCAAACACCACCGTTTGCAAAAATGTGAGGCTAAGTTTATGTTGGTTTCTGTGGAAACAATCAATTACACATTGTAAAATTGAAAACAGCCAAATAGGACTGCGAATGTAGGGGGAAGCAATTTGACAAAATTTTGGCCTCTCTTAGCCGCACACTTTGTGTGTCAGTATCTCTTCTCAGAAAGACCTTTGATGCAATTCTTTTGGTTGGCTGTGAGGGGCTAAATGTTAAAGAGGAAACAAATAAACACAATTTGCTCATTAAAACTACCAAGTTTGAGCATAATCGGA